AAAATAATTTATTAAAAAATATTGCACTTAATAAATATCTTAGTAGTTTTAAAATAAAATTTGTTTTCATTTTTCTGTGTAAACATATATGCACTTTTATTTATATATATATATATATATATATATATATATATATATATATATATATATATATATATATATATGAAAGTAAATAAAAGTGCATATATGTTTACACAGAAAAATGAAAACAAATTTTATTTTAAAACTACTAAGATATTTATTAAGTGCAATATTTTTTAATAAATTATTTTTTTTTTTATATTTACATAAAATTAAAAAATTATTAAATACTTTGAATTAAATATCAGAAATGTGTTTATATCGTGTTATATTTTTTTTATTACAGGATCAGGTAAAACTAAAAAAGCTCCATTGTCCCGTGCATCAAGAGCTGGCTTACAATTCCCTGTTGGAAGAGTACATAGAATGTTAAAATGCCGAATATCCTCAGATGGAAGAGTTGGATCGACTGCTGCTGTTTATGCTGCAGCTATTTTGGAGTACTTAACTGCCGAAGTTTTAGAATTAGCAGGAAATGCAACAAAAGATTTGAAAGTTAAAAGAATTACACCCAGACACTTACAACTAGCTATCAGAGGTAATTTATACATTTTTTTTTTTTTTTTTAATAATAATGAATATTTTATTAAATAAAGAAATATTCAGAAATATATATGAAGAATAATTTGAAAGATCATTCATAAAAGCATTTTATACTTAAGATTTTAATATAGAAAAATATAAATTTTAATTTTTTTTATTTTAAATAGGTGATGAAGAATTAGATACACTTATAAAAGCAACAATTGCAGGTGGTGGTGTTATTCCTCACATACACAAAGCTTTAATGAATAAAGTTCCAGTTCCACCTACAGCTACAAAAAAACCCAAAAAAAATTGAAGGAAAAAATTCATTAAAATAAATGCATATAAAGCATTATATTGCTTCTTTTTTTTTTTTTTTTATTTTTCTATATAAACTTGCATAAGTGTTAAAATTTAAATGTTTTTTTAATTTTTAAATAAATATTTTATTTTTCCTATTGTATCATTATTTTTTAAGGTTAATACAAAATAGTGTTTTATTCTATTCTTTTAGCTTTTTTTTTTTTTTTTTTCTTTTTAAGATGATAATTATTATAGTACATTTTTTTTTTTTTTAATTTTCATTCTAAATTGCTAAAGATTGCATTGATAAAAATTTTATTAAATATAAAAAATAAAAAAAAGTTAAATTTTTTTTTTTATCCCTAAAAGAATATGTTTGTGCATATGTACACGAAATGTTGGAAATATGTTACATATTTTTTTTTTTTTTTTTTACATTTTTTTTTTTTAAATCATTTTTCCATAATAATGAATAAAATGAAATAATTTAGTTTTGCTTATATTTTTTCTTATGTAATTTTTAATTTTTCTCTAATACATATAAGAATTCACATTTATAAAAAATATAGAGCAAAATGTACAACAAAAACGAAAATTTCTTGCTTTAGAAAAACAAAAAATTGAATAAATAAAAAGCTATACAAAGACTACATATTTTATAAAATCAAAATTTAAATATTTAGGACATAAATTAAGGAAATAAATAACCTTTGAATATTTAATGTATATTTATATTAAAACCCATTGAATTTATAGAAAATGATTTTAAAAAGTTTTATCATATTTTTCATCATATTTCTTTTTATTCTAAATATATTACAACCTTTTAAAGCTTAAAAATATATATAAATTAAAAAGTTGCTATGGAATAATAGTATTATTCATTATTAAGAAAATTTTTTTTTTTTTTATATTTATTGTTGTAATAAATCAAACTCTAAAGAGACTTTCTTTTAAATAATTAAATATTTAATAATTTTTTAACATTCATAAAAAAATAATTTTATATAAACAATATATATATAATTATGAGATAAAATACTAACTTATTTCTTTAAAAAATGTGGAAAAATGTTCTTTAATTAAAAAAGGATTTTTTTTTTTATTTTTTTATTTTTTTTTTTTTTTTTATTGAAGTTGTATATTTATTTAATCAAATATGTTTCATAAAAATAAAATTATAGTATTATTTAAAAAAATGGAAGAAATAACTATATTAAAATTTAGGAAATTTAAAGAGATAAAATAAAAAAAAATGAAAAAAATGAAAATTAAACTGTAGTTATAGTTAATATGTTTAAATATATAAGTAGGTTTTTTACTTATGTGTTTTATTTATTAATATCTTATAATTATTTTATGTATTCATGTGGATTTAATTTAAAAAAACGTTTGATAGTTCATTTTTTTATATCAAATAAATCATTTTGCAAAAATTCTATTTTTCCAAGAAGAAAATATAAAATAAAATACTTAAATAAAGAATATACAGCAGATAAATGTAAAAGTAATTGGAATAACTATAAAAAAAAAGTTGTAAATAATGAAAATAAAATAAAAATAAAATTTAATCACCTACTGAAAGAAAAAAATAATGAAAACATTCAAAGCAAGAATAAAAATAAAAGAACATTATACATAGTAGAAGAAAAATTGGAAAATATATCTAGAGGAAAAAAAAAAAAAAATGTAGAAAAGGTAAAAAAAGTAAAAGGAAATAAGAAAAACGAAGAAAATATTAGCAAAAGTAAAGAAGTAGAAGATGCAAAATCATATAATAAAATAAAAGAAATAAACGAAAATGAAAAATCTAACTTTATAAATGAAAATATAACAAATAATTTTTCAAATGAAGAAAATAAAATAAATCATAAAACAAAAAGTGAAGAAATAAATAATCAAGGGGAAAATAACTATGAAGAATGTGAAAATAAAAAACGTTTAAAAGATGATACAGTAAGGAAAAAATTATCCGAACTAGCAAAATTAAGATGGAAAAATGAAGAAGAAAGAAAGAAGCTATTATTAGGTAAAAAAAAATTTAAGCATTCGGAGAAAACAAAAAAGTTATTATCTTATAAAATAAAGTTGAAGTGGAAGGATGAAAAATATAGAGAGAAAATAATAGAAAAAACAAGAATTTTTAATCAAGATGAAAATACCAAAAAAAAAAAATCATTAATATTGAAAGAGAAATGGAAAATAAAAGAATTTAGAGACAAAATGCTAAATAATAGAAAACCATTTAGTTTAGAAAGAAGAAAAAAAATTTCAGAGATAATAAAGCAGAAATGGAAAGAAGAAGACTACAAACAAAAAACATTGAAAGCAATAAAGGATAATTATAAAAAAAGAAAATTACAAGTTGGATTAAACCCAGACTTAAATTATATTCAAAATGTAATGTTATTTAAACAGGTATAAAATATTTTTTAATTATATTTATATGTTACATAAAAATGAAATTTTTCTTAAGCATATATTTAAGTGTTTAAATTTTTGTTTGTTTATTTAATATACTTAACAAATATTTGTAATTTTGAATTTATTTTCATATTATTTAGTTAGGTATTTGTGCTCCAAAAATAAGATATTTTCCTGATATACATAAGGAAAAATTAAGAAACAAAAAAAAAAAAAAAAAAAAAAAAGACAAAGAAAATTATAAAGAAAAATGGAAAAATATTTATGATAGTATTTTAGATAAAAATGAATTTCAAAATTCTTCATCTCATTTAGGTAAAATAGAGAATTTAAGTGTAAGCACAAATTTATAAACATAGGTAATCATAAAAAAAAAAAAAAAATCAACTATAAAAAGTTGTATATTTCTATTTTATTTAAAATTTTTAGGCAAATTTTATTTAAACATAATTTTTAAAATTGTTAATTTAAAATTACAATTATTTTTTAAAATATCAAATACCTTATTTATGTTTTATTTTTTTTTTTTTCATTATTTTATTATGTTTTATTGTGAACTATATTAAAATTATTTCTGATCCTATTATTTTATTTTTTTTTTTTATTTTTCATATATATATATATATGTATATATAATACATCATTCTCTCTATATATGTCTATATATATATATATATATTTAAATACATATTTATTTCTGATTTTATTTTTTCTATGTTACTTTTTTTTTTTTTCTTTTTTTTAATTATGATATTTATTTCTAAATTTTAATTCTTTCTTTAGAACTTTCATAAGTTTCATATGTATTCATATTTTTTATGTTATTATACTGTAAACTTAATAAAATATGTTGATCTTTGCTACTTTTATGACACTTTAACTCCTTTTGTTTGTAATTTTTGATAGGAAATTTTTTTAAAAGATTTATTAACTTATTAATATAAACTGAATTTTTTAAATTATTATGATCTAAATTAATAAAAACATCATGAATATTATTTTTATGTTTTCTATTTTTGCTTAATTGCAATATGTGTTTGAAATATTTATAAGTAATTGGGAAACTTTCGTTATCAATTTTATTCATAGAAAAATCTAATGTTTTAACTACTACGAAATTGCATGTACAAAAACTAGATAAAAAAGAAGAATATAAAGAGCTGTTAATATTATTCCCAGATAATAGTAATTTACGTAATTTTAGTTTTTTGCTATTCTTAGAATTAGAATCATTTTTTACCATGTTTGTTAATGCAAATGATAAAGTTAATAAACTTTTATAAGTAAAGTTATTCCATCTTAAATCTAATATTTTCATATTATTTAATTTATTTTTTTTTATTAATGTAGAAATATACATAAGTGCATTATCATTTAATTTATTAGAACATAATTTTAAAATTTTTATTTTATTCAAATCCAAATAATCTAATGCTTTTCTACTAAAAGTAGAAACACATTCGTTTAGTTCTTGTAGAGAATCTTCTGAATTATTTTCTTCACTGCATGATGAACTATGTATATTATAAGTATTAATTTCATAATATTCATTTTTGGGATTTTTATTATCTATATCCTTATTTATTTCTAATGGATTACTTAAATCTGTTAACTCTTTCTTTTTTTCATTATAAGTTTCAGATACATTAGACAATTCCCATTTATCTAGTTCTTTTGAATTATTCAAAATCTCTTTTGTGTTTATATAATTTATCTTATTATCTGAATTATTATTATACTCTTCTCTTCTTAAACCAGTTAAAATATTTTCTCTATTTTCAATATTTTCTTTATTTAATGATGTTTTATGAAAATATTCATTTTTTAAATCATCAGTAAAACGAGATATAATTTTTTTTTTTTTTTGTTTAATTGTAAAATAATCATAAAAACCATAACAATCAAAAAAAATTACATCTTTTCTATTTTTAAAAATAATTTTATTTTTATCATAAAAAGAACTATTGTTTTTTTTATTTATTATTTTACTGACCTTTTTTTTTAAAGAATTTTCGAAAACATCATTAATTATATTATTGTTCATATTTATATGTTCACCCACTTTTTTTTTATTTTTATTATTTTTTTTATTAATATAATTTGTGTTAAAATATATTATAAAGTTTTTATTATATTTATTATAGTTGTCTATATCCACTATTTTATCACTTACAATATTATTACATATAAAATGGATATGTTTCAAATTATTATTCTTGAAGTAATTCAAAAATATTATAAAATGAGAATAATATAAATGACATCTTATTATTTTTATTGTATGAACGTTTTTAAAAATAAATAATAACAAAGATAAGAAAAAACATATAGTGGAATTTATAAAACAATCATTTATATGAACACGAACAATATTGCTAACTTCTTTTTTTAATAGTTTTATAAAAATATATTTTATATATGATAACATTTTATTGTAATCATTAATTTTTGATAAATATATGCATTGATTTTTTAATTTTTTCTTAAACTTGTTCTGTATATTTTTTAATTTTATATTTTTTAAAAATAAAAAAATATCAAATACATTAGTTTTATTCCTTTCACAAAATTTAAAAGAAGACTCATAAGGAATGTTGTTATTCTTTTTATTACCTTTATCAAGAGAATAATTATTTGCATTTATCTTATTTATATATGTTTTTAATGGTGATAATAATTTTTTATTATTAAGTTTATCAGAATTTATTTCTTCCTTTATATTATTATTTATAATATTTTTATTAATTTTCTCTGTATTTTCTCTTATTAAGCAGTTATTTGATGTGGAAATATTATTTTTATAGGACAAAGATGTCTTCATATTATGTAAATTATTAATTATTTTCTTATTTTCACTTCTTTCTCTTTTTACTATTTTATCTTCAGAATTTATTTTCACGTATGAATTTTTCTTTTTACTTTTTTGGTATCTTAATTTATTCCACTGTTTTAATAATAATACTTCATCTTCTGAAAAGGAAAAATTAAAGTGATTACTTCGTAACAAAAATGTAAATAAGCATTTATTTATTTTATCAAAATAGTATTTTTTTAATTCCCTTCTAATTGCTTTTTGATATTTTAAATATTCTATGAGATCAATGAAATCTTTTTTTTTTTCATCATCATCTATGATAGAATAATACCTTCTTTGTTCTTCTAAATTTTTTTTAATTTTTTTTACTTCTTTCATTATGCAAATAATATTTCTAATGGAATCAAAAAATACTTTCCTTTCATTTTCAAAATGAGTTGAATCCTCGTAATAACTAGGTAAATACTCGTCATTATAATTTTTTAAACTTGTAAAAGGAACAAGTAATCTATTTTCTCTTTTACTAAAATATATATCTTGTTCGCAATAAGAATCAGAAATACACTTGTTTGAATGATAATTCATATAAGATGATGACAATTTTATATTTTTATTTAAGTAAGATTTACAATTAGAAAAAAAATTTTTTTTAACATTAATTGCTTCTTTCACTTTATTTTCAGAATTAGAAACATTTATATGGAAAGAAGGATAATTAAAATTATATTTATAAATATAAGAGTCACTTAATTTATTATTTTCATTCTTAGATACATTTTTTATAAATTTTATATGATCTAATTTATAATCATCACTACCGTTACTTAGAGATTTAAATTTTAGTAACACATTATTAGAATGATTATTTGCATTGTATCTTTCTTCATAAATATTCTTTTTAAACAGAACATTTTTATTTTTTCCTGGTTTATAATCTTCATAATATTGATTTTTCTTATTGTAAAAAGAATTATTGTATTTATTTGATTTTTCTAAAACATTTTGATTCAGTAAATTTATTTCATCATTACAGAAGGAATAATTGTATATGTTACCTTCTATGTTTCCTTTTATTTTTTTAACCTCATTTTTACATACATAATAATATGAGTTATGTTTCATATTATTTATATCAATATTTTTATTTTCACTCATGCTTTTATACTCATTAAATGGGATATTTTTGTCATAATTAAAATAAATGTCTTTAGTATTATCATTACTGTTCAACTTTTTTGAAGAATAGTAATATTTTTCATTTTTATCTATATCTAAATTTATCATATTACTAGGTAAAATATTATCATAAAACATGTTCATATATTCGCTTTTTAATTTACTTTTCCTTTCTTCCTTATTTAAATGTAAAAGTTTATTACTATTTATATATTCAGATACATACGGGCAAGTTTCATATTCAGACGAACTATTTTGAAAACTTTGTATCGTTTTATTATTTGAATATGTCTTTCTTTTTATTCTATTTTTATTAAAAATATTATCATCATTAGTGTATTTTAAATGATATTTCTTAAAATCCTTATTTTCTATATATATTTTTTTTTCTTTTTGCTTTTTTTGTGAGTTATCTGAAGAATTTTTATATTTATCTGAAAAAGAAGAAAATTTATTATTTCTTTTTAGTTCATCTATAATGCTTTTATTTTTTATACTTCTTTTAATTTTCTCTATGTTACTACTGTTTAAAATTATTTTTTCTTCAATTTTTTTTTTTTTTTTTTTCTTTCCTTTATGCTTTTCATTTATATGTTCATATTTATTTTTAATTTTACTCTGAAAAGAATTATCTTTGCAGTAAATTTCGTTGTTTCTATTCATCATATCAATATTCTGTAAATTTAAATATCTTTTATTATCTTTGATTCTGTTTAATTTGTTATCTATAGTTAGTATCTTATTTATTATATATTTTTTCTTTCTATTTTTTTTAAATAATATTTTCTTGTAATGAAAAATATTTCTTAAATCAAATATTTTTATATGTCTTTTTTCATAATATAATTTATATTCTACTCTTTGAATTATTTTCCTTATGTTCATAAGTATTCTATATTTTCTTAGATTCTCTTCTTTCTTATTTTTGAGTTTTTTTAAATTTCTCGAACTTTGTGTTGGAATATATGTATTTTTTTTTTTTTCAATAAACTTTTTAATATAATTTCTTGAAAAACGGAATTTATCATTAATTTGTTTTAATACCAATATATTTTTATTGTATTTATTAATTTCCTTATTTCTTTTTATAAATCTATTGATAATATAATTTAAGGATAAATTTCTGTTAGCTGATTTGCTTTGATAGGAAAAGCCTAAACTTTCTTTATCACTATTTATAAATGTATCATTATTTTGATAAGCATTTTTTTCGTAGAGTTTTAGAAAATTTTTTTCACTTATAATGCTATTATAACTTTTTGATAACATAGAATTATTAATAATCATAATTTTAAAAATATAAAAATAAGTAAAAAAAAATGAAGTGAAATTTTCATTTGGAAATTATGAAATTATGTGTACTTTTTTTTAAATTTGATAAGATACACTAACTTTTAATTTATAAATTTGTATTTAAAAAAGAAATGAAATAAAGATAATCATAAATATATTAAAAAAAAAAAAAAAAAAAAAAAAAAAAAAGATATAATTCATTAAAGACAAGAATTTTGAAATGTTCGATATTTCTAGAATTATTCTTATTTTAATATTTTGTAACATTTTTATTATTGATTTTTATAATTTTTTTTTTTTTTTTTTAAATGTATGAATTTAAACAAATATAACACGATAATTTATTTTCTATTTATAAAAGAATTTGATGATATTAAGTTAAAATTGAATGTATATATATATATATTAATGTAAATTATTATTTAAAATTTTTTTTTACTAATTAAAAATTTATTAGTGTGATAATATTTGATGAATTCATGTGCGTATTTAATCAAATAAATATATATATTATTTTTCTTTCAAATAAATTTATTTTTATTTATTTAAATAAGTATATTTAATATTTTAAAATACGTATATAAAATATAAATAGCAAATGTATTTGATAATATATGGTATATAAGTTTAAATATTTTTATTATCACTAAATATTTTATTCATATTTTTACTTAACATTTTATATTTATTCATATTAAAAATCGTTATTTTGTCTAAATTATAAATATAAAAAAAAAGAAGATAATTTATTTTTTAAAATAATCTAAAAATAGTAAAAACTTCAACTTGTGAAAATAAAACATTATTCCATCAAAAATCCATATTTTCAACAAATTTACGTATTTAAAAGAATTATAGTTATAATATTTTTTTAAAAATAATGTTAACTATATATATTTTTAAAATATTTGTAAGATACATATATATATTTATAATATAAAAAAAAAAAAAAAAAAAAAAATAGTTATTATAGACAAACTGGTGCAAAAATGTATAAAAAGTAATATGTATAAAAATATTTTATAAAAACATATTTAATTAAATTTATTAAAAGTGTATAAGAAGATAAATTTAAAAAATAATTCTTATGTAGTATCAATAAAGTATCTTAAAAATAAACCAAAAGAGCATGTTATAATTTGAAAAAATAACAAAACATTAACTAAATGAAATTCTGATAAGGGGCCAAATAAATATAATATGAGATTTATTAATGTATAATTATGTGAATAAATTAATTTATTTGTTTTTTTATTTAAATTTGGTAATCTGTGCCTAGGACAAGGTATAAAATTAAATAACTGCGGTAAAGAAATAAAAAAGTTAAGAAATTGTGGTATTAAAAATAATATTAAGGTTTTTGAATAATGACCAAATATTGAAACAACAGCCAGAAAAATTCCACAAAAATATGTTAATGTATTTCCAACGAATCCTTTAGATGGATAAAAATTGAAAGAGAAAGTAACAAGATTTATTGATATAAAAGGTAAAGTAAAAATAATTGACAAAAAATGTTGTTTTAAAATTAATTTACTTTCAACACTTGATTTATCTATATTTAATATTATTTCCTATATATAAAACATAAATATATAAATTATAAATATTCTAAAACAAGTTTTATTATATATAAAATTTAACTAAAAAAAAAAAAAAAGTATATATATTTTCTTTTTTAAATATACATATAGATTACAATTAAATTATGTATAGAAATAAAAAAGGATATTATCAAACTTTGGCCAATCTCTAACCCATTTATTCCTTTAAATAAAAAAAAAAAAAATAAGTAAAATATAAAATAAATGAATAAAATTAAAATAGAAATAAGTAAAATATAATAAAATAATAATAAAAAAAAAAAAAAAAAATTTTACCAGAATATATATTTATAGCATTAGTACAAAACACTGCCAATAATATTATATATAAGTAATAAAAAAATCCTATGTTTATTATTCTTTCTTTAAATATAAAATATAAAAAATTAGGAATTCTTATATTGGTTTCTCCTGAATATGATAATAATAACGGTAAGCAAGCTAAAGGGAAAGAATAAAATATATTTACATATATTTAGTTTATTTTTTTAAAAAATAAAAAAAAAAAAAAAATAACCAAAAAATGGCAAAGCAACTTTATATCTCCATTTCAATTCAAAAATATCATCTATAAAACCCTTAAAAGAAATTATGATTAAAATAATTTATAATTTTACTTAAAAAAAAAAAAAAGATAATTAAAATTTTATTTTTTAACTAATTTTTTATACCAAAAAAGTCATAAAAATTATTGATAATAAACCAGCATTATATTCTAATAGCTACATACATTTAAAAAAAAAATAAAATAAAATAATTTTATACAAATAAATATATAAACAATAATATATTTTTTTTTCATTTATTATTATTATTATTATTTAATATTTTTTGTTTTCTTTATCTTATATTTAACAATTTTGTTATCATTGTAATATATCATTTGGTAAAATAAGACAAAAATAAAATACAAAATGGCTGGAAATAGACCAATTGGTTCAGCAACTTTATCTTTGCTTATTTTATTTAGATCAAAACCATAAAATCCTATAGAAAAAAAAATTTTATTTTTCAATTTTTTATCTAAATTTTCAGAATTTAATTATATGAAAAAAAAAATGATGAAAATAAATAACTAAAAAAGAACTTGTAGTACGATATTCATAAAATCTCTAACATAGTAACATATTTTTCTATTATAAATTAATTTACCCTTTTCATTAAGAAAATGTATAAATTTAGGTAGACACATGAATGTAACTTTAAAAAGAATTAAACATGGTGTTATGTAAAAAAGTATTATATTTTTAAATGGTGTTTTTTTTAATAAAAAGAAAACAATTAATAAATAAATAAAAAGAACATAAAATAAATTTTTTTCAGAAATATTTTCTTTATAAGCCATCAGTTTTTTATTTTCATTGCTTTCTATACATATCTTCATTTTTATTACAAAAAATTAGGTAATAGTTATTTTATTTTTTTTTTTTTAAATATGAGAAATTAGTAAATAAGGCATAAAACATTGCATAGATAATTTTTATTAATACTATAATATTATTTATTACATTTTATTTATATTTTATTTAGTAACCCTTTTATAAATATTTCTAATAACAAAGAAAAAAAAAAAAAAATTGATAAAATTAATCGTGATTATAATATAAAAATTTTAAATATGGAATAATTACTTTTGTTATAATTTTTCTATAAATATGAGTGTTAAACTGAAATTTTTATTTTCATATTTTTTTTATTTTTTTTTTTTTTTTATTTTAAAATATTTGTATTATTATTATTTCTTTTTTTTTTTTTTTTGTTTTTACATCTTTATTTTTGACTCTAAAAATAAAAAATCAAGTTGTTTAAAAATTATATATATAAATTTATATTTCTACAAAAATCTATTATATATATATATATATAATTAGTAAGGAATCAATATTTTTTAATAACTATATTTTTTAAAAAGTGTTAAATTTATTAAAAATGATATAATTTAAAATAGTTGAATATAACTTTAGATGTAAAATAAAAATAATATTAATCTATGAATTAATTTTTTAATTTCTTATTTTAATTATTTTTATTCATATAAGTATTTGTATAAATTAAAGATGCATTTTTATTATTAGAAATTTTATTAAAATATCATTAAATAATAATTATTCATTTTTTTTTTTTTTTTTATTATAATTTATCTTTTATTTAATAAAGTATTTCATATATTGATTGCTTTATTTCATTTATATTTACAACAGGAATTTTTTTTAACATAAAGTAAATTGGTGATATTTATTAACTTAAAAAAATAACAAAAAGAGCAAAATTGTACGAAATATTTTTTAAATTAATATTTTTTTTTAATTTTTAGACAAATTTTTTTTTTTATCATTTTCCTAGTAAGGTTAACTAGTTATATTATTTAAACATTGAATAATTTTAAAAAAAAATAATAGATATAAATTTAGTTATGAAGGAGAAATATTTAACAAAAAATTGTTTTATTATAACTTGTACTAATTAGAAAAAAAAAAAAAAAAAAGTAAGTAGTATGTATAAAATATGAAAGTGTTTGAAAAGATATTAAAAAATTTAATTAGGTAATTTTTTTTTTATAATTGTGTATTCCTATATTTTTAAAAAATTGATACAATTATAAATAAAAAAAAAAAAAAAAAAAAAAGTTATAATTATTGTAATTCACAGAATTTTAATAAATATATTATAATTAACATTTGTAAAAAAGGCTATGAAAATACAAATTTATAATACATTCAATTTGTATATAAAATAACATTTATGTTTTATATATAAAAAAAATTAAAATTAGTTGTCATTATAAAAAAAAGAAAAACTAAAAAATATAACAAAATTATTCTTCTAAAATAAATGCTATTTATATAGGCAATATAATTATAAGCGATATGATGAGATGTAAAATAAAGTGATTCATTATTACTTGAACCATTCGATGAAAATTTTTTACACAAATTAGATTGGTTAATATTATTCCTTTTTTTAAAAAGGTTTGGAAATTTTGACTTAATATAATCTTTTTTGTTTCCTAATATTTTTTCATTTTTTTTTTCATTTTTGATAAATTTGTTATATATACTTTTAAAATCCATATTTTTCTTATGTACAAAACTTAAATTTTTGTTAAAATATGAAAAATAATTTTCTAAAGCTTTATTTTCATATATACCAAAAAAATAAAAAAAATTTGTCATAAAATTATAAATAATATCTTTTAAATAATCATTAATAAAAAATTTTATATTTTTTATTATATTATTAATATGATCATTATTTTCGTCATTTAAATTAACTGATATAGATGTGCTCCCTTTTATGTTTTGAATATGTATCATTAAATATTTTTTCCAATTGTTAATGCAATTATTAATTTCGTTATATATTTTTTTTTTAATTAAATACTTCAAAAAATTACTTTTAACAACAATAAATAAATAAATTGACACTAAAGTTTGACTGTTATTTCTTATATCTTCATTACGATTTGAAATTTTTTCATTATTGTAATTTTGCTTTGAAAAAATATATATTTGATACACGTTAATAAAAATAGAAAAAAAATCATTATCAGCATTTATCCTCTGAATATAATATATATCATCAAAATTATTATCAATATATTCTTTTGATATAAATTTTCTACTATGTTGTTCTTCATTCTTATAATAAAAGTTTGAGAAATTGGGAAAATTTTCTTCTACACTTATATTTTTTAAATTATTATTCAACTCAATATATTTTACTTTATTTTCATTATTTGTTTCATTATTTATATTCTTCTCAAAGAAATATTCATTATTAAAAGTACTATTGTTTTTTTCTATTACGTTTTTAGGAATGCTTAATCTATGTTTATTATTCTTCATACTATTATTAGTTAAAATATTATTATTTGTTTCTGTATTTAACTCTTTATTTTTTTTCCTACTTTTATAAAAGTTTTTAAATTTTATCATCAAATTTTTAGTTATATTATGTTTTAATAATACTTTACTAGATTTTTTTTCTCTATTATACAAATTGGTACTATTATTAAAATTATTATCTTTTATATATTCATTTTTATTATCATTACATATGTAATTCTTCATAATATATTTACTGTCATTTTTTTCTTTTTTCCATTTAAATTTTTTTATAAAAAAATTCTTAATTTTATTTTTTTGTGCTGATTCATCTTCATTAATAAGTTGATGATCCTTTTTAAATTTATATTTTTTTTTGAGATTATTAAATAGATTAAATTTGAAAATATTTTGATCACATTTGTTTTCGTCATATATATAGTTCATATTATTTTTAATATAACTTTCGTTTTTATTTTTATAATTTATTTCATTGTTGGTTAATGTTTTAAAATTTTTACAACAGTTTAAGTCATTACATATACATTTTATTTCATCATAATTATTATGATAATATAAATTGTCTTTTTCTTGGTTATGATATGTATCATTTGGAATTCTTTTTTTTTGAAAAATATTTTTATGTTTTTTTTTAATATTATCTTTTCTAGTATCTCTATTTATATTTTGAATATTTTTATTTTTTATTTCGTTTTCTTTTTCATTATATAAAGCTTCAACCTTATGTATACGAAATTTTTTTAATATCTTTTTAGGAAAAAAATTTGTTTTTATAAAATTATGATTACATTTATTATTATCATTATTATTATTATAATTATTATTATTAACATTTTCATTATTTTTAAGGTTGCAATTATTATTATTATTATTATTATTATTATTATTATTATTATTATTATTTTTCATAATAATATCTTTAATGTTGTATTTTTCTGTTTCTTTTATCTCATTTTTATGATTTTTTTTATCATATATTGAGTTATATGGACTTATGTGATTAAGTCCATGCATAAAATATAAATTTTCTTTTATTTCATTATTTTTAATTGGATCAATATTATATTTTTTATCTATTTCATATTTAATATTATTAAAATAATTATCACTTGTGTAATTGTTATTATTATTGTTTTTTTGTGTTTCATGATTCTCTAAATAGTTTTCTTTACTTTTTTTACATTTTAAATTATGGTATGATTTTCTATTATTTTTATTATATAAATTATAATAAAAATAGCAAAATTCTTGAATAGAAATATTACAAACATACATACCAAAATTAAATGAAGAAATTTGTTTATAACTTACTATTTTTTCGTTTGTATAATTTTTATGTTCTTTTATATCATATATATTTTTATTATGATTTATATTAAAATATAAAATGGAATAATCGCTATTTTCTTTTATAAAGTTATAATAAAAACTATTAATATCTAAATCTATACTAAAATTGGAAATTTTTACAACATCTTTTAATTCTTCATCATTAAGACTTAATAATTTTTTTATATTGTTTAAATACGATGTATTACTATCAGTATCATCTGAATTATTAAAATTGTGCTTATTATATCTTTTTTTTTTTATTCCTGTATCAAGTAGTTCTTGTATTTTATCATTTTCCTTTCTTTCTTTTTTATTATCTACTGGATATTTATAACATTCTAAATTTTTTTTTTCATCATATTCCCATTTAGGTTCTGAAGAATTATTATTATCATTTACAAAATATCTTGACATAATTTTTGAATTATTTGTTGTGTTAACTGTTGCTTTTTTCTTATACAAATAATTATTATGCAGTAAATTTTTTTCTTTTTTTTCTTCTTTTTCTTTTTTTTCTTTTTTCTTATCGCAATCATTTGAATGTTTTTTATTTTCTTTTATTCGAAATAGTGAAGAAATTTTATATTTTCCATTTTTATATCCATTATTTTTTTTTTTTTTATAAAATTTTGTATATTCTTTATTTGTAGATGGGTTAGTGCTATCAGACAAATTATCTAAACAATGTCCAAAAGACGTTTTATTTTTATTTTTTTCATTATAAGTGTTATTTTTGGATTCATTTTCATACATTAAATGTGAATCATTTATATTTTTATTTATGTCTGAATCTTGTAATTTAACATTTGATAAATCATTCTTTGATATTTCTTTCATTTTGCTTTTGAATAAACTAAAATTTTGTGAATTATTTTTTAAATCATTTTCATATTTTCTCATGTTTAATATTAGTAATATATATGAAATTATTTTAGTATATGAATCATATATATAAAAAAAAAAATAAATAAATAATAATAATAATAAAATATAAAAGATAAGATGAATTATCAAAATTTACTTTTAATAATTTCCATGAAAAATGAGTTACTAAGAATAGCAACATATATATAGTTCTTCATTATTAGTTTCTATTAGAAATATTAAATAAATTATTTTTCTTTTATTTATTTAATTTTTTTTTTTTTATCTTTAATTAATTTATAATTAAATTTTATTTTTAATTAAATAATGGATTAAAAGAAAAACAAAAAAAAAAAAAAAAAAAAAATCATTATTCTATATATTACTTCATATCTGTTAGTATTAAAAAAAAATATATATATATATTTTATTCTATTTATTAAAAAAGTATCTTTAGAAAAATATATGACTTATTTTAATATCTCTAACGAACTATATTCTAATATTATTATTTATTCTTTTATATTATTATTATTTACAAAAATATATATTGTTAATCTACTTACGTTTTCCTTATGGATTGTTTTACCCTAATTCATCAATGCCCATTTCAATAAATTTTGGTATATTTTATAAATTTTTTTTTTTTTTTTTTTTTGGTTTTTTAAATAATGAAAAATCAATGTAATTTTACAAATATACAATTAAAAATATTATGATGTTTAAACCTTTTATGATCATTGTATTAAAAAAAAAAATTTTAAATGTTCTTGTGTTATATAATTCTTAACAAATTACACTACTATAATGCAAAAATCTTATCTTTTATCTATGGTTTTAAAATAAATATCTATAATAAAAGTATGTATATAGTGTTATCATTTTAAAATATTATATATTTTTTTCTTTTTCCTCTTATTTTTCCTCTTCTTTTTCCTTTTCCTTTTCTTTTTTTTTTTTTTTTTCTTTTTTTTTTTTTCTTTCTTTTTTTTT